ACCTACCTACCTACCTATCTATCTATCTATCTATCTGTCTATCTATCTATCTATCTATCTGTCTATCTCTCTGTCTATCTATCTCTCTGTCTATCTGTCTGTCTGTCTATCTATCTATCTATCTATCCATCCATCTACCTATCTATCTATCCATCTATCCATCTATCCATCTATCCATCTATCTATCTATCCATCTATCTATGTATCTATGTATCTATCTATCTCTCTCTATCTCTCTATCTGTCTATCTATCTATCTTTCTATCTATCTATCCATCCATCTATCTATCTAACCATCTAATCTACCTAATCTAATCTAATCTATCTATTTTTCTATCCATCTATCTTATCTATCGTATCTACCTCAAAAATCCATCGTATCTATCGTATCTATCTTTTTCACCTCGTCTATCTTATCTATCTTTTCTATCTTATCGATCTCATCTATCTTATCTATCTCATCTAATCTTATCTATCTTTCTGTCTTTGTATTGTAGCAACATCTATCTCTTTCTTTGTCACTATGTGTCTAGTTCTCATACTCTATGTTAGTCTTTCTCTCTGTCTTTCCTTTCTCTCTGTCTGACTGTATAGCAACCTATCCTTCGATGTCTCTCTGTCTATCTCTGTCTCTATCTCTGATTCTGTATTCATCCATGCTTGTATCTGTCTATCCATCTATCTATCTAGCTATCTATCTATCTGTCTGTCCATCTATCTAGCTATCTATCTGACTATCTGACGCGAAGCAAGTCTGCGAGACTTCCTAAAACATGGATGCGCATCGCAATCCAAAAATGGACGTTCACAGCTTGAAAACGAAGAAAATCTGCAAGACTTCCTCCATTTTTGAACGTGACAACATCAAAAAGCAAGCGAATCTGCGAGAATTCCTTCGAAAATGAAAAGCGCAGTGCAGAGCTGACGGCCTCGTACCAATGCGTTTTGCGACTTTTCCGCCCGCCTGTCTAAAGTACTATGCCTGCCACGAACAAGTGAAGCCAGGTCATACGAAGTGCTGGACGTATCACACAAAATCATCTTAGCAAGCCTGACTATCTGATGGTCCAAAATGCAACCGCTCTCAGGAAATCTGCTCCCTGACATGCTAACAGCTAACATGTCTCATATGTCTGTTGCACTGCGCGTGCCACGCGAAATACAATACATCTGCGCATACCCTCTTCATCGTCGTCTTGCACTTCAGTCAGGATGTCATGCACCCTGCTGGCCCTGTGGCAGGCGGTATACTCCATGTATTCAAACATTTCTCTGTGTCCGGAGCCAGCGTAGTGCCCGGTTGAAGCCGCCGTGCGGAAAGATGCCCTGGAGCTCGTCTGGGGTGATCGTTCGAGACGGGGTCTGGTGCCAGGCCTGTGCTCCCACGTAACGTACCAATAATATGTCTTGCACGGGCTGCCCGCCCAAATGCTGAAGGGCACCGGGCCTCCGCGCCAGTCCGAGTGCGGAACTGACAGAGGAACCCGATGGTTTGAGCCCAAAGCATTCTCGAGAAGGGCTCGTATGAAAGGGCACGAACTGAACAACGCGACGGCCCAGGAAATACTCCAGCGCCTGCCGGAGCACGAGCACGGTGGTGAACGACACCGCTCCGCGATGCGCCCGCCTCAGGGCACGGAGCGGCACCCAACCCAGGAAGTGAACCAGGAGAACCTCCACTGCCTGGATGGCCATGACCTGGCGTTCCATTGCGGGGAAGGACGCCTGAAGGCCTGGTAAAGGCTGGCTTTCTGGAGGCTGCAATGGCTGCGGAAGACGAGCAAGCAAGTTGCTACAACAGTGCGTGTCAAAAACTGCCTTCGCATCGGCTCATTCATATCTCTATATCTATGCATTTATATATCCAGAAGCTTTAGATATCTTCAAATTTAACCTGTGTATTGACCGCAACGGGGCGCCCAGCGCCAAAAAAAAGGGGCAGCTGCCAAAAAGCAGCGCAGCAGCCGCGGCGGCTATCGAGCACAGCAGCACGCACACGCACCATGTGCTCCAGAACCGCTGCGTCAAGAGCTGGATTTGTAGCACCTGGCCATCCCAAGCGTTCCTGCAATTCATCACAGGGGGTAATGTTCCTGACGGTGGCTGACAAGGTTGGGCAAGTCCACATGACATGTAAATGAGTAGCGTTAGGTGCCTGACAGAAAGGGCAATACTTAGGGACACCAGACATCACTTGGTATGCTTGCGGGCCGATAGCAGCCCCAGTCAGTGCTGCAATCACATGGCTCGTGAGATCACGCGTTTTCAAAGGCCAAAAGGTCTCCTGCGACTTGCACATTTTGACACACAGCTGCGTCACGTCTGGCACTTGATCGCCAGAGGTAGAAGTTGTGATATCTCCAGGCTTGTCTCAACTCATGTTGCAAAGCCGAGTCGGGTTGTTGGCGAACTGCCGCGAGTTTCAAAGATAAAGGTCTAGTGTGTGGGTGATTCCAAATCCAGGGTTCTGCCGTCTCGACATAGCCCAGCTGTTTCATGATTTCACAGACCGACTTGTTCCATCCGCTTCTCCTCATTGGCCAAGGGGGTAAATCAGCGCGGGTCTTCTCAACCCATCTGAACAAAATTCGGATGGCCGCGGAGGCTGACAGCAAGGCTAAATCCCCAAAATGCCCAAGCACGACCCGCAGCAGGTGCGTGCTAACTTGTTTCGGCCAAAGGTGCACTTGTTTACTTGTTTGGCCAAAAGAAAAAAGGACGTTTGCTCCCTCTTGGTTGGCTGGCGGCAAAGCATGCCCCAAGCCGCTTTGGTGGGCACGGCCATGCGCGCAAGGCGCGTACGGCGGCTATGCCCCCCGGGCAGAACCGCACATCTTTTTGCTCTGTAAGTGGCTTCTTGGACTCTGCCAGCATCTTTTTTGGTGGCTTTCCGCCTTTGCGCAGGCATCATGGTGAAGCCCAAAATGGTGGTTTCTTTGTTCACGCTATTGGCCGGCATGTCGCATCCCTTTGTTGCGATGAAACACTTGTTCTTTGGACACATTTTCCTGAAGATCCTCTTCAAACGTCCCACGTCTACCATCGTTTTTGAAATGCGACAAAGAAACCTCACGTTTTTCCTGCTTTTGGCAGGTTCAGATGTCTAAGGCGCACGCCGTAGTGGTGCGAAGCACATGTCGAAGTAAACATGTGAAAAACACCGCATGTTCGGACCACTTTTGGACGTTCAACTGGCAAAAGTGGTCCGAGACCTTCAGTTTAAGCATTTCGAATTCGAAATGTGCCTCGCATCACTTTTTGAACATCTGAACTTCCAAAAGCGCTCCGACACTGAGGTGCTTCGTACATTTTGACTTCGACATGTGCTTCGCGCTACAACGGCGTGCACTTTTTGAACATCAACTTCCAAAAATGCCCCGGGCATGAAGTGCTTTGTGCATTTTCACTTCCAAATGTGCTTGGCGCCACAACGGCGTGCGATTTTTCATCTCTCATCCCACCAGATGGCTCTGCCCATGGCGGCTCTGCCGGCTTCAGCGAGCCTACTTTTCGACCCTCCGGAGCCACAAAACATTGGAGAAAAAACAGTACTTCACGACTTTTCTACTTTTTCGCGCACCTTGATCTTCTTTGTTCTGACTCTTTCTCTTCTCTGATTTCTTCTCTTCTGACTATTTCTCTTCTCTGCCTCTTCCCACCTCTGCTTCATCTGTCCATGTTGTCGGAAGTTTGACTTCCTTCAGTGATTTGACTTGTACTATGTTTTCATGTTTTCTGCCGAAATGTTGTTGCAGAGTAGCTCTGTGTGACTTCCAATTTTATTTAAGGTTTTCATGGCTCATCAGTGCCAGTTGTCAGATTTTGAAGACAAATGTGTCTCTGGGTGTTCCAGCGGCACTGGGCGCAAATGGCCAAGCCTTCAAAGCTGCTCTGTGTTTTTGAAATCAGTTCTAGACCTACAGGACATTCAACCCTAGAGAGAAATCGTTTCGACCAAAAACTGCTCTGGGCCAGCAGTCACAAAGGATCTAAAAAATGAAGGGAAGTGCACCTGGCTGGCAGACCTTCTGTACTGGCACCACCTCAGTGCTCTGATCTCAAAGAACCACGAGCAGCGTGCTTTGCACATTGCAAAAACCAATAGGGTTCTGTAATGTTCTGTATGCAACTCGAGGGCTCTGCAAACTCACTTGGAATGGGACTCACGAAGAGCGAAAGTCCACCAGCCACAGGACCGTCCAACCACGTCCTTCGTTTGGCGCTGGTCATCTAAGGAGAGCTCTTTGCTTCAAGCAAATGCGCAACACCCACAAAGCTGCACCAGTGGCGAGGGAGGGGGTTCAAAGGAAAAAATAAAAGAACTATTTCTGAGTCCAACCAAACAAATGACATGCGAAGACAAACCTCCCTCTCGACAGCCTGGCCTGTCGTGATCGTTCGCAAAAGTTGCCATCCTCTTCAGGCTTCAGGAGTGTAGCAAAAAAGACAATTAATGCTCTCAACAGAAAGCTTTCCGACAGCCGATCTAGGAGTCATAACATGCCATGGGAGTGCCAGAAACATCCTTCTACTCTCTGATTGATGCGCTCTCTTGGTTTCCGCCCTCCAAAATGGAACCCGGAACTTTGTCTTGCGGAAAGAGTCCTTGAAGGACAGGCTGGCTCTGCGTTGCCTGCCAACGAAACACCAGTGCAGCAAGGGATCCACATTTTGCAATCCAAAACCTGCTAAGCATGCGCGACAACAGAAAATTGAAAATGGCATGTTTTCAAAATTTCCAGAGACCAGTTCCAAGAATGACTTTCTTGCTAGAAGAGGAGAAATCTCAGTTCCACTTGGCTTCTCATGAATTTGGACAGGAAGACAGACACAATAACGATCCCCCTGTCGCCTCCCTCAGTATGCCGGAAGAACCGTGTCGCAGCCTGGAGCGTATTTGTTGCTGCACAACATGAAGAGTCTGTTGCAGGGTTTATGGTTTTCCAATTTTCCAATAGTTCCAATCGGATGTTCAAATATGTTCGACCGATGCAGCTCATCTTTGGAACTCGATGCATCTGCTTGTCCAAGCACCGCAGCTCTGAATAGCTCCGACTTGACAGCGTGGCAGGGGAAAACAACTACGCGCTCCATGACACCGGCCTTCCTATACATGCTTTACATTGCTAGACATTGCTATACTGGGCAGCTCCGGTGCTCGGTTCTTGTGCCCAGGAGACTGATCCGCAGCGTGCCCGATTATCTGCATTTCTAACATGTTCAAACCACTGAAATGCACCGCCTCTGCGCCCAAACCTTCGCTAAACTCAAGGTTGCTTGGGGATAGGCCGCCCACCACGCCGTCCATGAAAGGGCCATAGCTTGGTTGTCTGGTTGCCTCAGCTTCGAGAGCTTGCAGCGCCAGACATTTCAACATTGACAGCTTGATACCGAAACTGCCCAAACTGCCGAAACTGCCAAGTTTCAACCAGATTGAGGGATCTGCAGGGTCATCAACTCCTTGGTCTCTGCACAAAATCATGGGATCAGTCATACCTTGAATTGCCTACCGTCTGAAACAGTCTTGCCGTTCAGAGAAATGTGAGTTTTCAGAAGCCCTCGAAACAAAAATACGACGGTTCATATTTTGAGACAATAGTCACAAAGCACTCTACGCTGTCGAAGTCAAAATTTGATGCCCAAGTCAACAGAAAAACGAGATAGTCACTGTGGTCCTGAAAATGAAAACTTCCGATACCTTGGATAGTAAGCATTGTATGGTCATTGTACCGATTCACTTCCAAATCTTCAAAACGGAATCAATCGCTTACTTGGACTCGGAAACCCTGCTGTCGCTAGTCTTATCCCGCCAACCAACTTCTGTTGTGAGGAAGGCGTGCTCACAATAGACCACGAGAAAACGCTTCAAGATCTTGAAGGCATGGCAGCATGTTTCATTGCATGAATCCTTTCAAGTAGGGACTTCTTTGCGTTTTCCTTCTCAAAAGTGAATTCAGAATGCTGTCCTTTGTCCAAAGACTTCAAGTGGAACAGGTTCCTTGTGTCTATCAACACTGATATGGAGAGGAAAATGGCAGAATTGTATGAAATGACAAGAGTTTAGCAGAAGCTAGGAACCGTATGGAACTGTATTATCTCCGAAACTTGAGCTGTCAAACAGAAGTTCAGAATGATTCGGAGTGCCATGGCTTTGCTGAGCTTCGTAATCCACTTCTTTCAAGTCTCGCTGAGTGAGACTTAGACCCAAATGTTCACTGAGATCCTTCAGCACGGTCAGGGCACCGATTTTGGACTCATCATCTGGATGCAAAGTATCCTCCGGACAAACCGAAGATGTCTCGACTTTGCTGTAAAAACTATTGTGAAAACATGTTTAACGGCTTAACAAACGAAAAAATGCATAAAAATGCACGTCGTGACCACAAAAGCATACAACGACCGCTCAAGGGTCCAAGACACAAAAGCCACAAGCTTCTCGAAGTGAAGCACATGACTGGCCACTGACATCCAGGTCTCTTCCCTTGGAAAGCCCTCGCGCACGCTGAGGATCACATGCGTAAACCTGTGTTTCAACCTTTGCCAATCAGCGAAATCAAGCGAAGCAGGTTCACAAAACAGAGAGAAACTGCGAATCCTGTGATGGCGCTTGGTTTCTGTTCAAAATGTTTCCAAGGTCTTCTACCAAGTTGGCAATTTCATCAATTTTACTTCTTCCAACTCGTAGGTTTGTCTCCAAGCCACTTTTCAAATGCTTCCATACCTCCATGCCACTCATGAGTCTTCACCTCATTGTCAAACCATTCAACGGCGTCTAGTCTCGAAGCTCAATCTCGAACATCTGCCAACTCTGACTCATCCAGCCATGGCATGCCACCAGAAAATACCGGATAAGTCACACCCAGGTGGTCTGGCACAAGCAAAAGCATATCAGAAACTATCGGAATATCATGGAACATCTTTCACAAAATGTTCATCACCTTCCACTGGCTGTTTTATATCCAAGACTAGAGTCAACATCAAAATCCTCCGCTCAGGACGTGGCAACTACGTGGGTCCCCGTCTTGACACGTTGATCAAGTTTCTCCTTCGTCACCTGTCGCAGCCAATACGAGTCGCAGGCTTCTTTGGCCTGCCGGAAGAGAAGACCTCAGACGATTTGCAGCTTGAAACAAGTCGAATCGAATAGGTCGAACAAGAACAAAAGCACACCGTACTTTGCATCGACACTATCTACACTCAGTCTAGACTATATGTCCCAAGTTGTGGCAGTTGTTAAAGTTCACATGCCTGAAGCCAGTAAAACATCGACAATTCAAGGATGTGCATGTAATTGTGCTGGGTCTTCAACAAAGGGGGCTCAGAAACAAGTTTCACAAAGCATTACCTCAAATTCGCCGGTCAACGTACAGCATTGAAGGCCCAGGTAGAGGCACAACGCTTTCCGTCCCGGCTGGCGGTGATGACCAAGGCTGGAGAAGATGGATATCTGAACTCGTTCGTTGAAAAACGACGCTGCTCCACTGTATCCAAATGTCGGCATTCCTCAGGCACGTGCAACCATGTGCAACCATGTGCAACCACATATCCAGCAAGTACATGTGTAGGCCAGGTCCAAATATATTCCAGGATAAATGCAACAAAAGGAAATGAGTCGAATGAGTTAAACGAGTATTTAGTAGGCAAGGGTCACACTCACTGTGGCAAGCCATTCCAGTCACTTCACAACCACTTCGTCCATCGCAATCCAACCGCCCGTTGCTCGGGTCTTGCCAGCAACTCGACTCACAATTTACAGCCGCCAAATACAGAAAACCGCAGAAAACAAGAAATGCCATGGCGCGCCGCTCCGAATGACATGGCCATTGGCCACTGGCGGCCACTGGCGGCCACTGACTTCTCCCAAAATCTATGGATCTTTTCGGATCACAGCAGTTGGCCAATAGCATGAGCACCCAAAAGTAGTACTGTACAGAAAATCCTTTAAGGATCTTTAAGGTAGTAGTATCTTTGCAACTGTTACGGCTCGGTTTGAAACTTCGAAGGTTTCTTGTTTTGTATTGTACTTTCTGCATCTTTCTGCATCTTTCTGCTTGATACATCAGTTGTTTAAGATTCAGTTGTTTTCCTGTGAGGCTGCGGCCATCCCATTGCCCAAATCCAGTTGTGCATCCGGCACTGTCGCGCCTGTGAGAGGGATGCACTGGCCTGGTAGAGCAAAGGCGTCAACGGCGAGAACAGGAGCGAAAAAGCAGAAAACAAACCATTAAAATTCAAAACGATAACAAAAGAATCAAAGGAATCAAAAGAACTAGAAGCTTCCAGACTGAGCATGAGAACCTCAGGGATTTGCATCAACGATCAAGCAAATCTAGCAACTGACACATTTCATCAAGACACAATTCCATTTTAATCAAGTTCCGTTACAAGTGAGTGATTTCATCAATTTTTCATCATTTCACTTCCGTCAGGTCGGAAACGCCTTCTTCGGCAGGTCAGCCACTTCTCCGCCTCTTTGGGCGTCTGCAACGGCTCCAAAGCACCCGCCTGCGTCTCGTCTTAACAAATCTCGACGTCATGTTTATTCAGGCTATTCACTTACCATTCACTTTGCACACTCCATTCATGTTATCTGACTTCAACCCTTCAAAAGATTAAGGGCAAGTTGGTGAACCAAATCCAAGACAACTAGTGTCAACTACAGCCTTGTAGGGAACAATCAGGCAACGTGGGCGACACTGGCAACGTGGGGTGGTTCTCGACACCTCTCGACACCAGATCTTTGCCAAGCTGCATTCGTCAAGACGCTCTTCGAGTTTGAGCATGCGTTCCTCGAATTCCTCAGGAGAAACACCAGGATTTACTGAAGGGTGATGATGATTTTTAAAAGAACATGTTAAAAAATGGTCAATTGTCAATATTCCGATGATTCATAGATAAGAAAAACAAAAAGCAACTCAATACTGCGCCTCACGGCACTCTGTTAGCTGCTGCGAGACCATGGCCTGATCAACTCAGAACTAGAGGTGGGAAAGTCCGAAAACTCCAAAAGCAATTCGGGTGCACATCAGGTACTGTACCTTGCAAATCTCTCCAAACGTACAAAGTTTCTAATTTGGATTGGTTTCTTGAAAGCCAGCTGATTTTTTTGACACCGATTTCAATCCAGTGATCCACACCAGATCCTCGCCTTCACTGCGCCAATTTCTTGCGCAAGAACCTGCCACTTTAACACTGGGGTCCAACTGTCTAAATCTTTTCACTGAAAAAAAAAGGTTCAGGCCATCTCCCAGAGCGCGAAAAAAAAAAGATAATGCTGCAATGCTCATCACTTGGTCTTATGATGTTTCGAGATCGCAGCCCTGTGTTTCACGGCCATCCAAAGACCACAAGAAACTATGTACAAGCGTTCTACAAGCGTTCTACAAGCGTTCTACAAGCGTTCTACAAGCGTTCTACAAGCATTTTGCACATTTGCCCAGGGCACTTGCCGAAAGAGCTGTAAGAGCTCGCTGGCCTGGCAAACTGCAAAAGGCCGATGACAGAAAACAGTTGAAACCAACTTGTTCCGGCAAGATTTCATGAACAATAAACATATCTTATCTTTAAAAAAAAAAGCACTTGATTTCAACTTGGAGTTCAACCAGAAAGCATCAGAAAGCATCAGAAAGCAGACATCACCTTGATCACCTGCAGGCAGCACCTCTCTTGATGCTGGCGAGACTGCATCCAGTGCCATTTGGAGCTCTCCAGCGATTTCAAATTTGTCTGTGCACGTAGCCGACGTAGCCCATGATTTAGGAACGTGTTTCAACATGTTTGCGGCAACTTGTACTGCCAAAGTGTCTCGGTGTAGCGCGAATAGAGAGTTTCTATGTTTACTTCTCACACTTGCTGAACTGTCCAAAGGTCAGTCTTCTGCACTATGATGCCATAAATTGACATAGAGGCATTCAACAGCTTGATTGTCTGCCCACGGCCCAGCTGGCCATAGCAAGTTCTGAGATCCAACGGTGATTCGAGTGATTCGGGTGATTCGGGTGATTCCGGCACTACCGTAACTTGGACATCAGTGGACATCTCATGCGAAGGCTTTTTGGTCAATACTCGGCAAAACTCACACGGTGCCGGAGAAACAGGGACACCGGTAAGGAAGTGCCGACTCTCATGGTCGGACCAAAAGAGGTGGTAATGGCTGATCTTGATTTGGCTTAGACTTCGATATCACATTTTTCAGTGTCCAGGCAGTCGGAATCAGAAAAATACAAGCGGTCTTATGGGTCATTTTGGGAAGGATTTGGTGGGGAAACCAGATCTAAGCTGTCAGCCCCTTAACGGTGCAAACTACCTCTGCTTGGCTGACTAGAAACGGTCTTGCCCCTCTCTCTCTCTCTTTCTCTAATCCGACTCGATCCAGTAAATGTACTGAGAAGTCTACAGCCACCATTTCAAAATAAGTATTGTGCTTCCTTCATCAGCTCAAAGTTTCAAATGTTTCAGACATTTTCAGACTAAGCAGTATTGATTATGCACAGAGTGGAGCGTATGAAGCAAGCAGAAGATTCTCTCAAGTGGATCCGTGTCTCGGTTTCCCGAGGATCCCTGTCGGAAAATCAGGACTTCAGGGAGTCCCGAAGGCCGAAGAAAGGCCATGTTAGGGCATTTTCAAACGCCCTTGAGCTGCTGTCAGGATTTGGAAAATGACGAAAACATCAAATTACACAAAATGCTTTGAATGCTCAAACATCCAATTACTGTAAAGCTTTGACCATCAGACGCTCCCTACAGCTGCTCCAGCTGTTCTTTGAGCCTAGTTTGCTGTTTATTGAGTCTATTGTACAGGCGCTGAGCGCCAGGTCCTCCAAGCATAGACCTGAGCGAGGACCCGAGTAACTCCAAAATTGTTTTGGATCTCATTACAAGTTTGGTCTGACTGGTTTCTGATCAGTAGCACCTCACAAAATGTCATTGGACAAATTCCGCCGTTGCCGCCACTGACACAGCGCCAACGGACAGTCTTTGAGCGAGACACGCCGAAGAAGAAGACGCCATACAACAGTGTTCGGATCAGCAACGACCTGGAAGGCAAGGCCGAAGGCCCAAGGGGGCCCAAGGGCCAAAGGCAAAACACCCAGTGAAGCCTTCCCAGTGTCCAAACGAATGCCTGGAAGTATCACCAGCTCAGCCAAGATACATGAGCGCCCTGCCTTTGGTGGAAGCCTCAGGAGCTAAAGGCAATCAAGGTCAACACAAAATATCATATTGCACATATCATTTATCCTTTCTGGATCTAGAAAGATGTAAATTTAAAATGATATAGAATGGTAGATACTATAAAGATATGTACAAATCTAACATGTAACCTCATAGAATTAGTTACAAATAGTAGGAACTGACCAATTCTACTGTCAAAGTGAGCCAAGCTCCTCGCATTGGCTTTGCCAAGAGAGTTGCTGGGTTTGGATGCTGCCGCCATCCGCCTCAGCGTTCTACGTCCCATGGTTTAAAATCTCGAAGAGAAACTTGTATGGTCAACATACTTCGTATCTCCAGTGAAGGAAAGACCGCGGTGAGAAAAAGACCAGTTCTTAGCAAAGAAGAACCCATGCCACACTGTGCCCAGTCTGCGCGCTCATCGCGCCAAGGCAGACAAAGCTGAGCTCGCTGAGCTCGCTGAGCTCGTTGGGCTCCCCAGCTCGCGAAGCCACTCTAACAGCTCCTCAAGTGGAGATGTCTGGTCCCGAGACGCTCAAATTGGACACCGTGGCGTCAGTTTCGTCATAGCTGCAAGAGAAAATGTTTGGATCATCTTGGATCACTAGAAACCTATCATATCAATTCATATCAATCATATCCTATCCTTACTCAAACAAGTGCCTTCTGGAATTCTGTGAGCCGTCGATCCTTTGCAGATGTCAGGATGGGGGTGATGAGAGCCCCCAACAGCACCTGGCAGGAAAACCAGGAAAACCCGAAAACCACCTGGGAAGATCTCACCTGGATCTTAGAGAAAACAAGCAGTCCAAATAGTCCAAGAAGTCTGGTTCAACTCGGTTCAACCATGATCTAGCTTTGGGAGGTCCAATGCAAGCGTATGTGCTGGCTTCCAACAGGTGATTTAAACATGTTGCATCATGGTGCATTGTATTTGGCAGCGTCAAGCAGCTCCATGCCTCTAGCCACGCACTCCTGCTTGATATGTCTTGAACAAAAGAATACCACAAATTAGATACATGCAAAGACTAGCTCTTTTTTGCCGCTTCCGTTGCCAACAATTGAGCATTAGAATCATCAGACATCATTAGAATTATTCTACGGCAGGAAGAAATTCATGTTGTTCTTCAAGACTGCCTGCATGAGAAGAGCGGCGTCTCTTTCAAACCAAGTGCTTCAGCGTATGCATCAAACATCAAAGAAGATCCATCTTTAGGATTTCAGACCTATTTCCAGTGGACAACTCCTGACAACGAAAGTTCCATCATGTCACTGCCTTTTTGGGAAGCTCAAGTTGCAGACACGTTTGTCCAAACTTTGATGGAAGATGTACAATCAGTCTGAATCAGTCTGACCAAAATACAACGTTTCTTGTGAAGCACGTGGAGCCGTGTTCATGAGGATCCATGAGATCGAAGTGGCCGTCCTCAACGTCGAAACCCACCTCACAATTCCCACAATCCCACTTCCGACACTTCCGACACTTGCAACTTGACATTCTTAACATTCTTAACATTCCAGAACAACTTCTGACTCTTTTCTGCCTACCTTCCGAGCAAACCCTCACACATTGAACATGTTCCAGTTGCCTCTTTTAAAAGCCTTTTGATTTCTTTTTAAATCAGACTTCCGCATCACTACGACATCCACGACATCCATGACATCCATGACACGGCCAGGCTTGGACATGTCCGCACCAAGGCATTCGCTCTGACACGACAGATCCAGGAGGCTGCTGCGTGGTGCTCTCGTGGATCACGGATTGAGCCTGCGGTAATGTCTGAATTGAAAAAAAAAACAAGGCAATTTCCTGGCAGAAACATTTGGATTTCTTGGTTTGTTTCTGTACAATAGAGATTGGATCTGAGCGCCGCATACCAATCAGATCCAAGAGGAGGAATTGCGATTTTGGAGCAAATATCCGCAATCTGTCCTGCTCCCGAACGATCTCATTGTGCCTGCGCAACGGACCAAAAAGAAGCCTTTGTTCATCAGGCTGAAACTGCTCTGAAGATCCTACAAATCTCGCAATAAAAGGGTACAATAATAAGCCAACAAGCTGCTGTGGCCGTATCTTTTCTCTCATTCCAAATTGGCTATGCAAGAAGACAGAAGGATAACTGTCGTCCAAATTGATCACAGGACACGGTTTTTCTTTGTGGGACAACTTGACAGTCAATTGAGTCCAAATTGGGGGAAGATCATGTGAATATTCACAATAATCCTTCATACAGAGGTTTTAGCAATTTCACTACCAGCTCTATCATTGCTTTGTTTCACTAAAATGCATGCTGCGTTCCTAGCCGTGCACTATTTGGCCCTAAATGCGACTCGAAGCTGGCTCAGGGGGTGTGAAAGCTGTGAATTGGTTTTTGGAAACATAAAGATAACCTCGATCGTTTCTGACCAAAACGTCTTCTACCTGACATGTCAATGTCAGACATTCGAAATCTGCGTGGTTAAAAACGTCTGACATGTCGTGTTGTCGCGTTGTTGCGGTCGACTTCGACAAGGCTGGCCAAAAACAACACGCACCCCACGACGGACGCAGACCGTGCGACTTGATGACTTGCACCGCAGTGACAGAGTACGCGGAGTACACAGCGCATTGGCGGGTCCAGCAAGGGTCCAGCAAGGTTGCTTCGGAAGGAGTGGCAAATAAAATTAAAAAAAATTGGGCAATCCACCAAATCACCACATTCACTTGAAAAGCACTTGTTTGCTTAGGAAATTTATTGCTTTACCATTTTTTACATTATTTTGTGCCATCTTTAGTGAAGAATTCAGATCAGCAACGGCCTGCGCCCTTGCGCCCTTGCGCCCTTGCGCCCTTGCCCCAGACCCAGCCTGTACTGTGCCTTTGAACATCCACTCACGTCGGAGGACTCACCGGGGCGTGTCCTGTGGAGGGCCTAGTGCAACCAATTGCCCGTGTGCGTGTGATCCCGTGCCTGTGGCTACTGTGCTCACCATCTCAACGTGGTTCGATCATAAAATTCCATGTGTCTCAACAAATCACATCAATTGGCTTCATGTAGCCGTTGCGCAAAGAGTCAAACAACTGTATTCCTCAAGGATTTCGTGATATACTGTCAAAGAACAGCTACATTCTTTCGTGTCCTCTTGCAAGCATCCTCATCGTTGGGAACGCCGTCTCCGTCATCATCCTGGTCCTGTCAAAAAGATTCAAACTGTGTATTTGCCTTGTGTGGTGTGTGTTCTCTCCAGTGATCCTCAGAGCAACCCAGTTAAAGCATGTTAAAGCATCCCGTTTCTTACAATGACGTGTCCCCGCAGTTGATCACATCCGTGCCATCTGTACATTGGGCCTGTGAGACCTTGGAATTTCAATCAGGTGAAAGCCCCAAAGAGACGAGGTCTCTAGGCACTATGGAAAATGCAGAATCCCGGTCCTCGACACCGTCCTTGCAGCCATCACCGTCGAAGTCATTGAGAGAATCCGACCTTTAAACATTCCCAATTCTAGAAGATGCGCAAGTCCAACTTTTGGATGTATGACAGCCCTGCCAAACACAAAGGTTCAGATTGCACGCACAGGTTGTGTTTAGTCGTTCCCAGCTGGAACTTCTGAACCAGTTCTACAGCTCCAAAGCCGTGGCCCCCGGCACAAAGTTGTACTGCTTTGGTGAGAAAGGACACCTGTCAAACGGTCAGGTCTGTTCCAACCCGTCGACTAACGATTGCTCGCAACTCTGCAGACTGTTGTCACTGCACCGACTTTCTGACATGTTCATCTGTTCGTCTTGCAGACGCCAATGTGATGATTTCAATGATTTCTGCACTCTGAAAGAGGCAATTCCAACGCCCAGCCACCCATTCCACCCGTGGCCAAGTCCACCTGTCCATTCTGTCCTCCACGCCATCGTTGTCTCTATCCTGGTCCTCCACACCGTCCTGGAGACAGCAAAAGCCAAGATCTGCCATGTTTCCACAAAACGTTGGACGAATAGTGTGGAATAGATGGAATAGTGGAATATCGACGAATATCGAAGATTGAAAAACATGTGCTGCAAATGTGAAACATTGCGAAACCATGTTTAGAGCCTCGCATCCATCGCCATCGAAGTCCGAGGCGCGGCCAGAGATCCAAACTGCAGTGAGGCCACAGGGGGATTGAACCAAGCTTGTGCTGGAAAACCCTTGGAAACAATGTGAAATCATGTGAAATCTAGAAAAAGGCTTGCAAATGGAACTTGAAGGATCAGCTTGATGGTTGTGACTGTTGTGACTGTTGTGACTGTCGTGACTGGGAAATTGGAAAAAGGAAGTGAGGAGATGCGAAGCAAACGGATGACCCTCTTAAGGAGTGCCCAAACCGCCTCAGGCCAGTGTGACTCTAACAGCTGCATCTGTTGTCTCATTTTCACAACAAACTGCCCCCAATTTCGCAGCCTGCACGCTCCCCCTTTCGTAGCCGTTTGCCAGGGCAAAAGTCATCCTGGTCCGGCACACCATCACCTCAAACGCTTCAGCGCATCGGCGTTGAAAGAGAGAGAGAGAGAGCGAGCGAGGGAGCGAGGGAAGGAGAGGATTGGGAGAGAACTTGACACGACCCAGTCCCAAAGAGTTGCTATTCGGCACAAGTGCTGGGCTCCAAGACCATCTGCATCCCGAATGAAATCCAGTGAAGTCCTCCGAAGAACACTTTTTTTAGGCACTAAAAATGTCTGATCGGAGAAAATCCGTTGTCAAACCACAGCGGAGTCGCGCAGTCGCGCAGTCCGTGTCTGCTCCACGACTTGTTCCCAAATGGCCCCAGCTCCTTGTGGACAAACACATTGCAGTTGAGAATAGAAAGAATAACCAACATGTCTATATAATATTAATATAGTATAATATAATATGATGTAATGTAATATAATACAATATAGTATAATATAATATGATGTAGTATAATATCATATTATATAATGATACAATGATATAATGATACAATGATATAATGATACAATGATACATATAATGATACATATAATGATACATTTAATGATACATATAATGATACATTTAATGATACATATAGTGATACATATAATGATACATATAATGATACATATAATGATACATATAATGATACATATAGTGATACATATAATGATACATATAATGATACATATAATGATACATATGATATGTACGTATATATTTTATAGTATTAAGACTCACAGAGTATCATTCAGTTTCTGAAGCAACTGGGACCAGTGACCACCAGGTGTGATACTTATGAAAATCAAAGATCTTCAAAGTGCACCTCCATGTGTCTCACTGTAGAGCGCTGCATTCACAAAGAGCGATGCCATCAATAAACCTGCGACCTGCACAAATTTTGCACAAGCCCAAGTCTTTGCACACTAGTTTTGCCACACAAGACAGACGTGCATCCAGGACTTGTGTCTCAACACGAAACCAGCACCAAATTACCAAATGGATTCTAGACTCTCTAGACTTACCAAGTCCATGTCAGGTTTTCCAACATCTCCAATCTTGGCGCGTGGTTTGTCCTTGGAAACCCGACAAAGCACAATGCAGCGCCAGACCATGGGCTCGGCACCGGTATGCTCACAGCGACCTGGTGGATGAACCGTTCCAAAGGCTTCCGTGAAACCATCGAAACGACTTTGAAACGACTTTGAAACCATGTGAAGTGAGAACGACTTTGACAACAGCACATACAGCCCATACAGATCATACAGACCATACAGCCCATACAGCACATGAGCCATGACACATGAGCCTGCCCATCAAAGCGCTGGTCAAGGTCTACCTGCAACTCAAAAGCAAGTGCTACTTCAATCTGCTTATCGACAAAGAGAAACAAAACAGATCCCAAAAAAAAATAGAGATCATCAAGCGAGCAAGCTTGATATAAATCCAAACCGAGCCAATAATTAAATATGATGGATGAACTCCATGAACTCCGCATAATCCAGTCAACAGTAGTCAACACATTCAACAGATTTAAAAAGTCGCTTGTGCTTCAACATGGTTCAACCAGTGCTCAACCAACGTCCTCCTTTGGAAGTCCAGCAGGGCGTTGCACCCTTGGCCGAGCGCGACCATTTTGCTCTTCGTTTCCAGATTGTCTGTAAAGTGCAAACTCAAAAGGTTTCCAGATGTGACACTCAAAAACCTTTGCCACTGGGCCACTCCTGACACTCCTAACAGTCTTAGTCCTAAATGTCCTAAGCATTGCGGGCCGCATTGGTTTTTCAATTTGGGACTGTCTTGGACTCTTTTGGACTCTGGGACGCTGACGTGTGAGTCGTGTGACTCGTGTGAGTCGTGTGACCATCGTGAGGTCGCAAAGTGGAGGCGGTGGAGCTGGTCGAGGGTGCTGGTGAAGGTGGAGGCCCTGCACGCGGACCGGTGACTCTAACATCTGTAACTGTCATGGTTGCCATATGCCACCAGATGCCACCATGTGCCATCGGGATCTGGCTGCTTTCAAATCTAAGAAATCGATAGAAATATATTGACCTCCAAGTTCATACAAGCGTCTGGAAAAAATGGAGGCGAGTGGAAACAAATTTTCGAAGCTAACGGATCTGTCCAATGACTTTGGAATCTCTGACTCTCTGCCGAATATAAAGAAGAAAATATGACGCCATGGTACAGCGTGGTAAAGCTCTGTCAAAATCAGCAAGAAACCCGCGTCAGGTGCCTTTTGACCACGCACCTGGCACTTGAACCAAGTTTTGCCATGAATTAATTGAACATAGTTGAACGGCACTTCTGTGTTCGGTGCGGGTCGAAGCACCACACCTTGACCCGGAGCACTTTCCAGCTGAAGTAAGGTGCCGCAGTTCCTCGAGTTCGAGAGGCATTTGTCTCAACATACCATCCCTTGGCGTCCCTTGCCCAAGGAACTTCTGATGATTTCTGGATGTCTTGGGACGCGAAATCTCTGAGTGGCAAACCAGCAGGTTCTACTGTTCACTTGTGCTGGGAAAAGCACCGTAGTGCCGCACCTGAACATCGGATCCAGGAAAACTGAGTCGGGTTAAGGCCAAGGTTGTGACAAAATGTGACAAACTGAGTCATTTCTTGAGTCGGGTCCGAAAACCTCCGAGAACCTCCGAGAACCTCCGAATCTTGCCTATCCTTGCCCTCTTGACGACTACATCCCTGGTACCGTCCCTCTAGCGCCTGCAAACCTGCTTGGATACTGGGCTGTTCAGTGCAGCGCTCCCCTGTCAGGTGTTCCAAGCACGTGTCTTGAGTTACGTGCTGTTCTGCATGCTGTACATCCTGCTTTTTTGGGGGAGCTGTTTATGAATCTCGAGGTAAAACCCGAAGCGTCTCCGTCAGAGGCAAGTCACACACAACACTCAGCTGCCGAGCTCCAAGCCGAGTTTGACATAAAAATTACTTTGCTTCGAGTGATCCCCACCCTGGCAAATGGTTTTGACAAAGTTTCTGGCATATGATCTGGAAGTATATATGGACATATATATATATATATATGGCATATATATAATATATATATATATTCTGACATTCTTTCTGGCATATATACTCTGACATTCTTTATGGCATTCTACCGACAATCTGTCTGGCATTATGTCTGGCATTATCTCTGGCATGAGTTCGGGTCCAGGCGCACTCCACAGCATCCGGAGCTGGCGATATGGTGATCGGGTCCAAGCAAAGGAGTGGAGTGAAGGAGGAAGGAGTCAAGGAGTGACTTGCACCGTGCACCTTTGTTAAAATATGTTAAAATCTAGAGACCCTCAAGACCCTCACCTGGCAGGGGAACATGGCACGTTTACGACGGTTTTCACGTAATCTGAATCGACAAATATCGACAACTTGGCAATAGTGTGCCATAGTGTGCAGTGTGCCTGCCTTGGGATTCCGCGATCTGGTAGCGAGTTCAGAAAATTCTGGAAGATCTGCACATTCTGCACATTCTGCACATTCTGCAGCTTAAGAGGTTACTTACGAGGTTTTGAGGATGGTTAAGGCGCATCAAACTAAGACCATGCCATGCGCACAGCAACTCGGCTATGAAGTGTGTCTCAAAAGAGCTAGCTGAATCAATTGTCCTTCTGGCCAAAATAAACGGGTCGGTTTGTCGTATACCATTTGCATCCATTTGCCAACATTCACCCATTCGTTACTATTCTTTGTTCAATGGGGAGCTACCACTCTAATGATCAGGGGGAGAAGGATGCTCGACCACCTGCTTGCCCCTCAAAGGTCAAATTAGTACAGTGCCTACAGTGCGTACAGTGCTGCGGCGCTGCACTGGTCAAACTTAGGATCCAGCCTCCCTCGGGCTCCAAGTAGGTGTTGGACAAAGCCCTGCAAGGAAAACAAGAAAACACATCCCAGTTTGCGAGGCTTTGCGAGGCTTCGGATAGCTGAGATTTTGCACAAGTCTGAGCAGCTGCTTGAAAAGCTGACACAAAGACTGTGGCTTTCGGAGAATTGCATCGATCTCATCTTTGCTTCCATGATTGTCTCTTTTGGCATGCTGGTACACCAGACAAAAAATTGAATCAAAAACAACCGAGGCAAGGAAAAGAGAAGTTGAAGAAATTGAAATCTACTTCAAGTCGAGACTGTCGAGACTCATTAGAATTGTTCACTCAGTTCTACCCAGCCTCGGCCGTGGTGGGGCATGGCTTTGAACCATACCGTACCTGGATGCAGAACTGAACAAACGGACAGAACAGGCGGCAGCAGCAGCAGCAGGCGTCAAAACTCACATGATTTGGCCACTAACTCATCCTAGCCGCTCCTAGCCTAGTCCCCTGCCTCGTCTAGCCAAATGCTAGTGCCACATATCACGCATATCTGCTCGATATCTCCTTGATATCTGCTCTTTTTGCGGCTGTTCGCTTTTTCTTTTTCTGGCAAATCATCCCTGTGATTGAGGAGATTTGGAAGGAATGCTTTCGTTAGAACCGCAGTTTAAGGGCTTGTAAAGGCGGTGGCGACGGATCCATGTGCCGTAATTGACTCCAGTCAGACTCTGATTTTAGCGGTAGGGCTAAGTTGGCTAGATTTGGCTAGCAAGGTGGGTGAGCTGGGTATAGCTGGGTTAGGTGGCTGAACTGGTTGGCTAGGAAGTTTCAGATGGGGAAACCTCATGTAGTGTCCCTAAAACCAGACAGCTGCAAGCCAAGAGCGGACGAGGCATGTTGCATGTTGCAAGTCCATGATCCTTGGTAGGAATTCCATGCCCCATCTCCGTCTGTTCAATACCTTCAACGTCGAGTCGATGTGGAAAACTTTACGGCTCACGGCTCACGTTACCAACTTCACTATGCCCCCGCCAGAGGCCATCTGCTCCATCTGCGTGTTTTCAACGCGAGTCCATAACTGTGGGCCTCTCTTGGGCTTGGGCTTCTCTCCTCTTAAAGGAATAGAAGCACCAGGCAAACTGGCATGATGATGCAACCTGGAGCAAGTCGAGCAAGCTGGCACTTCAAAGCAGCACGTTTCAAATCCTTCTTGATGTGACATCATACATCATGTGACTTCTCATGACTTCTTAATGATTTGTGCAATGTTTCAGTGATGCATCGTGACACCGTCAACCCCGGAAGCACTGAGTGAAGCTGATGGCGCAGTTCGAAAGCTGATCACATCCGATCATATTGAAGTCATATTGGGTTCGTTCGACGTATGTCGCGTCCCATCGCGTCCCATCGCGTCCCATCGCGTCCCATGCCCATGTCTCCCCGAGCCTAGGAGCAGCTGGCCAAGCGCCAGGAGCCGCTTCGCATGAAATGTGCGGAAGGTCTCAGGCAAAACACAGCGAAGCAAAGCGATATGCAAAACGATATGCAACGGGGTGGAAACAGCACTGGAAAGAGCACTGGAAACTCTGCAAACCGAAAAACTCTGAAAAAATCAGAAAACATGACACAAACACAGGAACAACAGCGAACAACCCACACAACGTAGAGCCCAGCACCTGGACATAGACGATGCCCGGCAAAATATACCTCTCAGCATCGGCAAAGGTCACCAGCAACAGCGGCTACTGCACAGGCATAAAGTGTACTTGTCATTCGAACACGGAGCAGCTAGAGACTGCAATGACCAGATTCATTCTCCAATTCCTATCGGCTTGTTTTATATACTTTGCCTCATACTTCCTGGTACAGCAGTGTACAGCAGTGTACAGCAGTGTGGTGGTGCCAATATGTGCCAATATCATCCAATATCCCAATGTAATCTGTGTCTGCCGTTTCCTTCGGACAAGAAGTAATCGACTTCTTGCATCGGGTGCATCGGGTGCATCGGGTGCATCGGGTGCATCGGGTGCATCGGGTGCAGGCGCACGAGACCATGGTGGATCCAGTGGCACCAACAACTCCCAACACTTTGCCGAGGTCCATCACCTCGAATCTGTCGAATCTGTGTACCGATTGTCTCCGATTTCCTGTGGTCTGCTGACATTGTACAGATTTTAGGGGTTTTTGAGATTTTGCCAAGGCCAAATGTCAAAATGCCAAGGCTAAAATGCCGAAGAGCGTTCACAAGTGACGGGACTGTTCCAAGGTGAGACAAATCTCACCTTCACTTACCTTCAGCCTTTTTCTGGCAGCTTTATGAAGCTTGACGTAGTTTTATGTAATTTATGTAGCTTTAGATAGCTTTAGTATGTTGTGATTTGTTGTGATTTGTTGATATTCCTTGTACTTTCCGAAGAAAACAGAGTTCAGTGAGTCATCAGTCGCAGGCTGTGATGGCGATGAGCAAGGAGCCGATCAACTCCAGCAGGGTCACTGCTGCCCACCTGTGAGCACCTGAGGCTTGGGCGTAATGCCACAGATGCCACAGATGCCACGCTGCTTGATGTGACTTGATGTCACAGCCACAGCACATATCGATACATATCGGACATATCGTCTGCAGCTTGATGATTCTTGATGTTAATATCTCTGTGAACTGTTGATATCTGAAACGGAAACCTGTGAAGTTGATATCTACGCCAAGTTGATGTTGCACAAGAAATGTGAGCAAAGAAAGTCTCAGGCTTGGCATATCTTGAAGAAATCTTGGCAAAAAGCATGCAAAAAGCCTGCAATGCCGAAATCCGCAAGCCTCCAGTCGGGCGCACAAGATCCATGAGCGCCAGCGCTGATGCGCGCGAAGGATGGATCTGCAGGGAAAACTCTGCTGCCAAATGGATCCAAATAGGTCTGCGCAGATCCGTTTACCAAAGGATACCAAAGATGTGTTTCAAGGTGTTTCAAGCCATTAAAGAAGTTTGTATTGTTTGCTGTGGACAGTGGCAAAACGAAAGGCTTCTGCGCCTGCAATGGGTAGGAGAGCAATGCCAACAACGAATAGAGAAGTCGTGTGACCGCAACCACGCTGCTTGATGGGTATCCCTGGCAGCAAGAGATCCTCCTTACTTCTAGCATCTACGCATGTGAGAAATGGAAACAGCACCATGGACCATTGCAAGAAAAGAGGATGTAGATGGATGTAGTATGATGAGTGTCCGTCAGGATGTAGAATCACGATCAAACACTAGAGTCCACTATAGTCCATTTACAGTCCCTTATAGAAGCTCGAAACTCGACTCGAAACTCAACAATTTTATAGACTTTGTAGACTTTATAGAACTGTGTTTCGTGGAGTCTCCCAAAGGTCCCAAGCCTTTAGAACATCCGAGCAAATGTTGTCACCAAAGGTCAGATAGCCCAGCACCGATGCCAGGCTGACGAAGATGAAGGAGATGAATAACTTAGCCAGGCACGATGCGGCGACGCGATGATGCCGAGATGCAGAGGCGATAAGGAACAGACAAGGAACAGATAAGGAACAAATAAGGATGAGAAGGCACAGGATGTCTGGCTTTTCAATTCCTTTTCACCTTGCGAACACCTCAAGCCTCCATGGTAAGCCTCAGCTATCCCTCAGTCCATCTCCTTCGTAGTACCCTTACATTCAGCACATTTTGGCACTATCAAAATCATGTTTAATCATTGGAGGGAGGCCGAATAGGCAAACAGTGGCAAACATCTCTGGGCGCCACGTGCTGCTGCGGCAATAATGCCATCAACACGGCGGCAAGTGGTGTTGCGGACCTGGAGACAGCTTTTATTGAACTCTGGCTCTGCCATTTCGATGTACCTCATTTGGATTCACTTGGATTCATTTGGTGCTGTAATTGGTTGCAATCGTCACTGAAGTCACATCGAAGAACATTAAGAACAGGGATTCAAACTGATTCAATGCAATTCAATCATTTCCAGATTCCGAATGGGGGTTCAGGACCTTCATAAATTAAAGGGGAGTCACATGTCTGACCGGAGCAACTTCGCACCCAGAACCAACAGATTCACATGCCTCGTTGCAGACGGCAAAAATATTCTGCTGGCACGTGAAGCCAAAGATGAAAACAGGCAAAGCCTGACAACGCATGGGGTTTTTGGATTTTGGATCTTGGCTTTGGGGTTTTTGGATCTCCCAAGCAGACCTTATCCAACCACCCAATTCCTACAGAATTCAACAACAACGGCAGCAGAAACCTTGAGCTGGCCTCGAAGTTAATTCAACCTGAAAATGTTCTTTTTTGGAAGTAGTTAATTTAAAATTCGATCTAGTAGGCCCAGAAAGTCTTTCAAGGCCGTTTTTCCATGTTAAGAATTTCAGCCCCCAAGGCACAATTTTTGCTGCAGATGCGGCCCGGACGGGCTCTTTTCCCGCTCGGAGAATGCTGCACCGCAATGATTCCACGGTAACACCTTTGGAGCCACGCAGCCTGAAACAAAACCACGCAGCCACGCAGCTCAATCCCCTGCCCTTGCACTTACTTACCTGACCTCACCTGCATGGCTTAGCCACAGTCGGTGTCCATGGAATATCTCAAAAACGTCGGAAGTCTGTCTGTGAAGTGCCCTTCGCATTTCTGTCTTCATAAATGCAGAATGCACGCAAATGCAAGCACCTCCACCAGATCTCAAACACGAACGTGGCGTGGCTTCAGGTGGCCCCCACGCTTCCTAAGCAGCAGGTCTCTGTATATGTGCACTTCGTTTGTCAGATTGTATCACCAAGTCTTGTCACCAAGTACTCTTTAGATATGAATAAGAAATAGTATGAATTAAATTGAATTAAATTGAATTAAATTGATGATGAAAGTACCACTCAACTGGAGTCCGGACTGCTCTGCGCGATGTGCATCCTTTGCCAAGCGCCGGATCCTGCGGAAGCGGAGGACTCCGGAGGACTTCTCCCGGGTCGTGCGAGGTCGTCCGAGGAGCCGGGCGCCTCGGGAGCATCGTCTCTCGGAGCTTCAGCAGCTGCTTTTCCAACTCCTCCGCGGTCGCAGTGCCTCGGAGCGTCTCGCACCGTCTCGAAGCGCTGACAAAACGGTGACTGGAAAGATCTGGAAAGCTGATGTGAATACGGAACGTGTGGAACGTGTGGAACATGCATGCAATGTCAATCTCATGTGAATGTGATGTGACTGATCCTGGGCTCATGACGCCAGAATGGTGGGATTGGTAAAGCTTGGCCATCGTCTGACCTTGCGCAACCCAAATGTCAAAATTCTGCCTAGCCGGGCCTAGCCGTTACCAATCACAGGACCCAAGCTGAGGCGAGAACTTCACCTGAAACGTCTCAACAGATTTGCTTGGTTTGCTCACCTGTCACAATATGTCACAATACGTGCTTTGATGAACAACTTGGCTGCAAAATGAGGCAAGCTTGGGTGACTTAGATCCTTAAAGCATCTTAAAGCCGTCAGAAATGGCTGCAAAGTCCTTTACCTCCTGTCTTGACTGCCATTGCCGTGGCCTCTTTGGGTTTCGGCTTTGTTGCTTTCAAGGAAGAC